CACCAGTACGCATATGTGATCGCATGAGTAAACCAGTGGTATACACCAGCCACATAAATATTAAGTTAATTACTTTTTTATACAGAATATTATATTTTCTATTGAGCGGGGATTATAATTTTGTATATTTAATAATATGCTTTCAGTCGCAAACAGGATGAGGTCGTCTCATTAGAAATGCAAATACGTCAACGCTCCGAGGAGCAGAAGAAATCCGGCATCGAATTGGGTGCAATCTGCCACATTTGCCTTCAAACGAAATTCGCCGATGGAATTGGACATATTTGCCATTATTGCAACATCGTATGTTGTGCGCGTTGTGGCGGAAAAGTGACACTGCGTAGCAACAAGGTAAGTGCGTGTTATCGGGAAACGGTACTGCTGTTTAATTAATAGTCTGGCACTGACAATGAATGACAGTCACCGAAAGCTAAAGTCCAATTAGCTCAGCTACGAAGAAGTTTATGAATAGGTTCACGCTACTTTCGCTTAATTATATAGCAACATGAGTGCATAAACAAGTAGGTGGTTTATTACACATACCATAAGCTTGTATACGAGTGACAGGCTGATAAATTTTAAAAGCAAATCTGACAGGCTTACATAAACGTTTTTCAACGTATGTTGATATGCGTTAATGAACTGCGAAAGTGCATTTAAACTTTTTAGTTGCTTTTTTTTCATCGTATACAAGATATATAGGTATGTATGTATGCAGAAACAGTAAGCGATCTCGCAGTGGAGTTGGCGGAAAAATATAGACTTTTGAATACTAAATTAAAAAAAAACTTTACAAAATAAAAACTTTCGGAAACACTGTCAAAATCGTATCGAACTCGTAGTGCTCTTTTGTACGCATGTTGGAACGCGCGTGTCCGGGGAACTTAGAAAACTGGAAAAAGAGTAATATCGGTCGGTTTTTTGTTTTTGTAAGGGAACTTGCGCAGTGAAATCAGAAAGCTCTTGGTGTCTGTTTACGATGACACTTCGCCGTCGTCGGCGATTATCAAAAATTGCTTTAACATCGGTTTTTGGTGACCCATACCCAAAGCGTGAACCACGGTGGATAACGTAATAAAAGTTCGTAAATTAGTACGGATATATCACCGATTGAACATGTTGTTGAGATAGTAGGAATCTCAAAATAATCATGCAGCCCATGACCGTCGGTGAAATGTAGGTCCACTGGTATACTGCTCCGAAGAAGAGCTGTCGGCGGGAGAGGTATTATGCATAGTTTTCTAGGATTCACAAGGTGTGAATCGTCGACTATTTGAAAAAGAGAAAACAGACACAGGCCTGTATTATGCCGAATTATTGTACCGAAGATCTGCCATGACCACCGAAGATGAAAACCCATCAACTACCACTTTCGCCAGCGCCTCAACCAAATTGCTCGAATTAAGAAACGCACTTCTACTCTATCCGGCATATTCTTCAATTTAGGCTCCGTGGGACTTCTTTTTGTTTCCAAACCTCCGATGTTATAATTGCTTAAATAAGGTAACAAGAAGAAAATTGCGATAAAACCCAGCAGAAATCCAAACAGCGGACAATTTTCTCAATGTTTGCTCATAGACGATAAATAATAAGTCACAACTTTTGAACAATTTCCACGAGATTTTAATGAGTTCTGCGCAAATGCTTTGAGTAAGAAACATTTCCAAAAAAAAAATTGTATCAAACATCAAGTTAACGTTTTGAATTACTTCGAAACGGTTGAAACAAATGTAAAAAGGCATGGTATATATAGAGTATGTCATCAGCCAGCATAAAATTATATTTGCGGTAACTGTCCTTCAACGTCATTTGTTTTTGATGTATGTCTAAATATTGTACTTAGTTGCCAAGCAGTATCTGCATAGTACATACACGTACACTGTGCCATTTACAACAAATATATATAAGTATACATATAAAATATCATATACCACAGATTTTTCGTCTGTTTGTGATTGCTTTCTTTTCTGTAGCCATTGTCTTAGCGAAAAGTATTAGCACTTGTATGACCTTGATTTCAACTTAATTTATGTGTTTGACATAACGCGTGTGATTCCGCGATGTCTTGCAGAATATAGGTCAGATGTGAGTGTGATAGGCGAGTTGCCTGCAAGAGCAACGCAGGCCGAGTTAAAAAAAAACACATATTAAATATATATAATTGTGTTTGGCAATATATTGGACTCAGGGCGGCACACACACCATCCATACGCGAAGCCTCTGTACGTGCTTACATTGAAGGCGGTATGGTGTTACATCTACAATATATTGTTACATATGTATACATACCATACATATGTATTATATGTACGTATGACTTATTTTTTATTTTAAGAATAATATATGAATAATGCTGTTATAAGATTTATTAAAACCAAATTTGTGCCAATTCTATATTTTCTTGCATTTTTTAATCGATCACGCGGGTTCGGTATTTGCCATTTTGTCCAACGTTAGCGCTTACTTTTCGACACAATACATTCGGTTCGATTTTGAAAACTTCGCTTTGCTACTTGTTGGCTTTTGTTGCTTAAAATGTGAGCATTCAAGGCATTCATGAGCATCTGTCGGATATCTTTACAATTATTTCATGTAACTTGTAAATTTTTTTATGGACTTAACTATCTAGTGAGTTATTAGTAGCCTCAGCGAATATTTTTTGAAAGGTTTACGGAGAACACATTGTAGGTATTTTACTCAAAATCATCCCACCTGTGACATTTAACCGACACGACTGGAAATTTAGGAATTTAGGTGCATACTTGAAGTATCCGTCGAAAGAGAATATGGCAATCTATAAAATATAATTATAAGCCTCTGCTGACACAAATCTACGTGCAATAGTCTTCACTTCTTCAAGTTTATCTTGTTGAATTCTATTAGTTAAGCTTTCTACAATCGATTTGAAAGAAGCTCAGGAAAATTTATCTGACATATAAAATCAACGCTAAAGTGACGTCACAACTATCATATTCTCAATTTGAATGAAAAAAAAAGAAACAACGTTTACTTCAATTGCACCGAAGCTATAATACACTTCACAAATACAAATGCTTCCTTACATGCACTTGATTCCGGTCGTTCAGTTTGTATGACAACTTTATGTTATAGTGATCCGATCTGAACAATTTCTTCGAAAAGTGCACCCTTGCTTTAAACAATAATACATGCCAAATTTGCTAAAGATAAGTGTAAAAGTTTTCCATCTAAGCATCTTTATTCCGATCGTTCAGCTTGTAAGCCACCTATATGCTATAGTGTTCTGATATCGGCAGTTCGGACAAATGAGCAGTTTTTTGAGTGGAAACGAACGCGTGCAAAGATTCAGATCGATATCTTAAAAACTAAGGGACTAGTTCACGTATATAGGTATAGACCGACAGATGGACATGGCTAAATCGACTCAGCTAGTCACGCTGATCATTATCATTTATAGACTTTTGGGTGTTGCAACCATTGTGGCAAACTTAATATACCTTGTTCAGGGTATAATGATGTTGATGAACGGAATTGAAACCGAAATAACAGTACTAGACTGAGTACACAAAGTAAATTTTAATGAATTATTCATTCTACTTATCTCAGAGAAAAACATTATTTAGAAATTTATTTTAATATAGTAATTACGATAGCATAACTGTACCAGACAAAACAATTATAGAATATATGTTATTATGGTACATTGCTTACGAATATTATAATTATCTTTTCTAAATAAGGTAATATGGGTCTGTATACTCTGCCGCAAAAAGCAGGAACTACTTTCAAAGACTGGACAATGGATGAATAAGGGACAACAACAGGAGAGTTTCCTTCGACGCATCGAGCCTGATGGCAGTAGTGTAAGTGCAAAAACAACAACAACTAATATCTATTTTATACAGCTCAATTATATTTTACTCGCTTAGGATATCTCGCAGCAGGCCATTGTCGATCCGCATGACACACTGGACAAACGGCCGAAATTGGAGCGAACGCGTAGCGCAGCCGAAAAAGAGAATCTACCAATGCAACGAACGGGAAGCGTGCTGCGCCGGCAGTATTCTCAGCAAGAGACGCCCACAAATCGGCGTATGTCCGCCTCGGACAGTGGCGCAGATATGAGTCCCGGACAACAGCGTCAACGGCCCATGCAGCAGCAGCAGCAGCAGATGCAACAACAATATGGCACGCAAGGTGGACAACAGCAAGCGAGTGGCGGACAGCGGGCATTTCCAGATGACGATCCACGCTATTATCAGGCATGCATTTGCAAGAAAATGGTGTTTTTAGTGAAAGTTAATAGTGAATTTCTAAAAAATTTACAGGGTGAGCTGGACGGTCTGATGCGGCAACATCCACATCTGGTGCATCCAAGTCAGTTGCAAAAGCAGCAACAGCAACAACAACAAGGCCATCACCAGCAGCAGTTGCAGCAACCGCCACTGCAGCATCAACAACAGCCACATGCACAGCACGCGCAGTATCAAAATCAGCAACAACTACAACAACACCAGCAGCAGCAACAACATAAATTTCAGCAGCCATCAGTGTCACAGCAGCAGGCGCAACAACGTAATTTACCACCACACCACCAGCAGCATCTGTCGCCACAGCAGCAACAGCAACAACTCACACAACAACAGCAACAACATCAGCAGCCACAAGCGTTGCGCTCGCACATGCAATCTATGCCCACCCAGGCGTCCGGTGGCATGACGCAACAACAACAACAACAACAGCGTCACCAACAGCAACTGCAACAACAACAACAACAGCCGCTGCAACAACAACGGCTTCCACATCAACACTCATACAGTCCACAAACGGCACAACTCCCCACGCCACCATTGAGTGGCGGTCCAAGCGGCGTCGGATCATATCAGAAACCGGCGCCATTGTCGCGTAATCTCACCATTAGCGGCGGTCACGCCATGGATATGGCAAGCTATCCGCAACAGCAACAACTGCAGCCACAGCAACAACAACAGCGGCGCCCATTAGTCGGTGCACAATACGGTCCACCGCAACAGCATTCCTTCAGCAGCTCGGAAGAGGAGATACAAGCTCACATGCTAGCGCCACACGCGGCCGAATATGATTATGATGGTGAGTCGGCTCGTTTTGTCCAATTTGCATATGTTTTCTACTCTCACTCTCTATATTTTCCTCTACAAAGTACACTTGCCACTTATCTACTTGCTATATGAAACATTTGTGGTTTAACTAATACAATTGCTCGCACTCAATTCTCATTGAATATTTGATTAAACTTTATAAGCTGTAAATTCGGTTTTGTCAAAATTTTTTTGCTGAAAAAATTAACATGAAAACAAATTTCTTAAAACATACGAAAATGTGTAATAGGTATATTTCAAAAATTCTAAACTCTAAACAGCAGTCTTTTTGTACTCGCTGTTCGGGACAGTCCCTAATAACCGCCTCATTGGTTTGTTATCTCTTTCGTTGGGAGTAACCGCTAACATTTACAAATGCACATTTCTTTTATTTTTTTTATTTAAAAATAAATAAATATTTTATAAACATATAATTGTTTTTTTTTTTTTATTTTCTTCAAGTAAAACTTATTTTGAATATTTGTCAGCACGAATACTACACTAAATTTTCATAAAATACCTATAGTGCCAAAAATTAGGTTAGGTTAAGTTACACAGTTGCAGTTTTAGTGTAACGTTATCAACAGTTATATGTATATATATATTTATCAAGTCAGGTGATATGGTAGAAAAAAATGATGCACTTATGTTTCACAAATTTATTAATATCTAACTTATTTTATAATATACTATATTGCATTTATAGACACATACTAATTTATTAAACGGCTGCAGTAGTAAGGTTTTATATATGTATTGTATAAACTCTGCTTATATTTAACTTATATACTTGTATATAGCTCTTATTAAATTTTTAGGCCCGGTATATAATTTTCCGAACACAATTTTTACATTGTGTTTTCTAAATATGAGTTTTTGAAGATTAATTCGTGAAGTTAGCACAAGTTTAGTTATTAATAATGTAACTAGTATCAATAGATGTACAATAATAATTTATGATAGTGAACTGAATAAACGTCTATTCTGTAGGCAATACGGAGCATGCTTCCTCTTACAAAAGAAGTGTTTGTATCCATAATGGCAAAAAAACGTATTTTCATCATACTTGAAAAATTTACTTTTGAATCATAAAATCAAAAGAATACAAAGTAAAATGACTGATTTTGAAATTATGTATGCAATTACTTTTGACAAATTGTTGTTTTTGGCCAATCGACACAAGCTTTTAAAATTGAATCATGCGACAGATATTTATGTATTAAGTATCGTGCGCTTCTGGTTTTTTTTAAGGTTTTCCCTGTTTCAATGCCCTCTACAGTGACTACAAAAGTTTATCCCTACAGGAAATGGAATCAAGCAATAAACTGTACTTTTTCACAATTTTCTACGTTGAATCACCAAATAAAGATACTTCAATGAATTAAAATCATTAAACATATAACCTTTAGCACAGTTTATTGCTATAATACACTGATATAATTGAATTTTTCGGAACAAAACAGTGAACTCTGGTTCTGTAAAAAAAAAAAAATTGTATACAACAGGCGAAGCAAAACTTTAAGTAGCGCTAGCCACTGCAATTTTATTTCGCTTGAAAATTTTTTCGTTTGAAAAAAAATGTTTAATGTTGAAAAGTATATTTCTCGTTTATATTGCTTTCAGACTTTATGCTGAAATGCAGTAATTAGATAGATTCCTAGTACTGTGAAAAAAAATTTTAAAATAAAGTTTTTTTTAACGAATCATTCACCAAGTTATAGTATCGGTTTTAAAACAAATGACTTATGTTTTGTTACTTACAACAACATGAAACGTCGTGGTCAAATCAGTCAGTGTGTTAAATGAGCCTAAGAAACTAGTTCACACTTGCCGAAAAGTAGTACAAAATTGCCTACAAATGGCTATGATACGACACACGCAGCCATAGACATAGAAGCGTACTTCATGCGAGTAAAGTGGCATATAGATATGCCTACACCTCTGGAACCTAAACGATGAGTGTTGTAAAGGCGTGTTGCAGCGTAGAAGGCAACCAAAGGAAGTAGGCTGCTGCTGCGAGTCCTTGTTGTTGCTGGTGTAAAGTTTTACATATTTTAACTGTTCGTTTTTGTTGTTGTTTTGTTGACTTTTGATATGTTTTTTTTTTTTTTTGTTGGTGGTTGGCACTACATGGCTAGCTTGTTGTTTGTTGGTAGCTGTTGCCCTCTTTACTGACCTGAAAACACGATTTGCAAGCGCATAACAACAATAGAAACAACAAAAGTCATAAAATATCTAGCACAACAACAAATACAAATTGTATGTAAACCACAAAAACAATTATGACCACGGCAAAGCTAGATGATGTTTCTTTGCTGGTTTTGGCGCAATTTTCCACCACAAACATACACATACATACACACATACGTATATACACAGTGCCACAAAAAAAGTACAAACTTCCTTTTTCTGTATAACAATAACAAAGCATCAGCGATAGCCACGTCAACTGCAGGCACACAATATGCATTCCGTTGCAATTGCTGCTAAGCAAATGCGTGTGTGTGTGTGTGTATGAATGTATTTTGTGCACACAATATTTCGAGATTATTACGTTTTTGCTGTTACTTGCATTCTTAAGTTAGTTTTTGTATCGAATGCTGAAACATGTTGCCGTTACTTTCTTCTTTTTTTTTTTGTAACTGTTTAGTCTTTTCTTTGAGCATTTCCTTTGCTTTCGGGTTGTGCCAAATTTTGGTTCCTTGCTCTTGGCGGCGCTAACAATGTGGCATATACAATTTTCGCGGATAGCTTTCACATTTCCAGGCAACGCTAGATTTATTACGCTAATTAGAGAGCAGAAGCGAAGCGTTCGCGCATAAAAAACGCTCACACACACGCCTACACATGCGTATAAACTCATTGTAATCACTTGCACTTGAAACCAATGCAAAAGTAACTTTTCGCAGTTGTTGTTAGTTTGGTTTTGGTTTTTGTCTTTAATGCAGTTTGCAGAGATCGCATTAGTTTTGCAATTACGGTGGCACACCTACACGCTTCCAGTATATACGTGTGTAGATATGTCTATCCGTATGCCTGAAGGTATGTATGCATTTGTGTATATACAGTGGCTACACCGCTAGTAGGTGACCTGTACTTGTAATAAAAGTTATTTAATGATTATTTATGACAATGACAATTGTAGTAGTGCTACTAACGGTGCTCACACATGCCACACATCTGCAATGTATTGCGAACTTATTACCGAGTTGCTGCAGTTGTTTACCGTTTGATAAAACTCTGCGCAAATTAGTTTAATTTTCCTATCTCTCATGTTTCGCGACAGACTGATGGACTCTGGTTCCGTAAAAAAAAAAAAATTGTATACAGCAGGCAAAGCAAAACTTTAAGTAGCGCTAGCCGCTGCAATTTTATTTCGCTTGAAAATTTTTTCGTTTGAAAAAAAATTTTTAGTGGTGAAAAATATATTTCTCGTTTATATTGCTTTTAGACTTTATGCTGAAATGCAATAATTAAATAGATTCCTAGTACTGTGAAAAAAATTTTAAAATAAAGTTAAGCTCCATAATGGAGCATGGAAAAATAATTCTGCGTAACAGAGTCAATAAGATGAAAAGAAAACCATTACAAGCCTTTTTAGTAACTGTGCAACACAATGAACATAATACTAATTAAATACATGCATTCTCTAGGCGTTCACATTTTACGCAAGCAATTAATTTTTCTAAAAGCAAAACTTTTATCCCTTATTCGTAAAACCGCATGAATTTTTTCACTAGATTAAAAGCTTTTCAAATGGTTTTTAACTTTATTTATTATCCTTTCTATGCTCAACGACAAATTGGAGTTGAGCCCACAAGTGGATAAATCTGTAAGCTTTGAGTCGATTTCGAAACTTAACTCAGTTCTGCGGAGCATTTTTAATAAGCAAAAATCTTCTGAGGAACTCAGTCATCGCAACTTTGAATGCTATTACAGAATTCGATTCTATTTCAAGCATGACATTTGAACTCGCCTCGCACCTAGGGTTCTTGGTGACCACACTGCTTGGTATTACAATGCATTTACGAGTATTATATACGCTTTTACTTCCTTGATATTTGTTAACTTCAAAGACAACTTAATCTAACTCTTTGCAGTATAATCATGGTGTTACGTCATTCAATAATTAATTAAAATAATTAAGAGCAACAAATTCTCCGTATACAAATTTTATTTTCATTTATTATTTTGCAGTGTCCCTTGTTGCCCTCCAAAAAAAATCGAAAACAAGAAAAAACGTGTACTTTACAAATATAAATTTATATAGGAACGTGATCTAGAACGGTCTATTTATTTTTTGTTTTAGACAATAATCCGCGGCGAATTTCCTGAAGATATCTTGCTAAATAAAAAAGTTTGCCATACAAAGACTTAATTTTCATCGTTCAGTTTGTATGGCAGCCATACGCTATAGAGATTCAATCTGAACAATTTTTTTTACATTTTATACCGTTACCTCTGATAATAATCTATATTCAATGTCGTGAATATATCTTGTCAAATAAAAAAGTTTTCCACATAAATATTTTATTTACATTATTCAGTTGGAAGGCAGCAATACGCTTTAAAGATCCGATCTGAACAATTTCTTCGGAGATTGCACCCTTGCTTTAGACAATAATCCATGCCAAATTTGCTAAAGATATTTCGTTTAAGTGAAAAAGTTTTCCATACAAGCACTTTATTTCGATCGAATGTAGAGCGGGGCGTATGAGTAACTTAAAAAAAATCGTAAGAATATGGGGCTGATTGATTCCAAAGTCTAAGTACAAAATAAATAATTGGTGCCTTCAAATAAGATACGATTTCTTCTTGTAAGCAACGTGCAAAGTATTTTGGATATATTTAAGAAAATAAATATCTACAACGTTTTATACTCATATTATTTGCAGGCAGTTTATATGTTTAGTATATATGTGTATATAAGAAAAATTTTACAATTTTATTATTAGCATTGAAATTAACTAACAAAAATATAAAAAACAAGAC